AAGGAGGAAAGTGTCCCTTTTTAGAGGTTACCCTGGACATGTGAGATGTAAGCCGGCCTGCCAATAAAGCAAAGTTAGCTTTCTGCTTTGGAATTTCTGTCAGCAGCAATCATTGATACGGCTGTTCCTCCTTAATAAAATCCATCATGCACTCCAAAAGAGTAACTAGGACACTTAGTTTTTATTCCACACGCATCTCATTTGTCTTCAGCAGGTTCTTCCATAATCTCATCATTATTGCTATCACCCTCTGAGGACAGCTGACTTGCATTAATCAGCTAGGCCTCCCTCATTCCTCACTAGATTCTTTGCAGCTTTACTGTGCCCTTGGGCATCCTAACTTTACTTGAAAAATTAATAAACCTCCCCTCTCTTATCTTACCTTATTAATGTCTGTCTTTGTAACCCATTATCCCTGCATCTCATCAGTGACCATTTGAGGCTGTGGTGATCACCAAAGGATTGCACCCTGGTGAGGCAGCGCACAAGAGTGCCCTACATAAATGCAAAAGAGGAAGTTCAAAGCCCAGCTTTGTTGTTTAGGAGTCTGAATGGTTGATGAAGTGAATGTGTGGGAATTGTTAGGATTCCACAGAAGGCCATTAAGGCCCATCAGACATTTCCCTGTTGCCGTCCTCATTCCTCCTTCCTCTACCCACCAACCAGCACACACCCAAACCTCCTTTTCTCTTTCTCTTGCTTTGCAAACCATGGGCTTGTTAGCCATCCAGTAGTTTGAAATACTGGTATGCTAATCACTTGTGTTTGCACATTTTTGGGGGTTGTTGTTGGTCATGGTTTGCAGTTATACTGGCTGTCTCCCTTGCTTACTTAAAAGTACAATCCAATTGAAAATAAAGATTTTGCAGGTTTGCTCATTTCACACAGAGATAGCAGCTGGTAAGTGTCTTTTGCAATTCATCAGAGGCCTCCCCGACCACCTGCTCTTGGCATCCTGCAAACAGCTGGCTCCGTGTATGTACCATAAGCTATTATCTTACTCAATAAATAATGAAAGAAAGAAAGAAGGCAGGATGGAGTCATTTCTTTGTAAATAAAATAAATTGATCACCATCTTTCTTTTCCCATCTAGAAAGAAGCCATCACGTTAAAGGTGTGTTCTGTTTAAACAATATCTAATACACAAACATGGACATGTGTGTCCAGGCAACAAGCAAACTCAAATGCATGACAGTTTCTTTTTTCTAAAAAATTGCTGCATTTTATAGAGACCGTGGGGAGGTTTTTTTAGAACTTCAACTAATGTCACCAGATGCCCCACTATTGAGAGGGAAAGCTATGTTTTCCAAAGACTGTCCCACTTAACTCCCCCCCCCAAACGAATTTCTGTTCTTTAGTTCTTAATTGTAGTGGATGTCAGCAAGTCACTCATGTTTGTTTTGGCCTTGTGCTGCTGTTGGACGGCACCACTGCTGCGTTTTCTAGCTGCCTGGGTTTTGTTAAAGTAGGACATTAGGGGGAAGCATTAGAAGCAAGAGAGATCAGTGCAAATAGTAAGCTTCCCATGTTCAAAGCTTCCAGATACAATGCACGTCTGATGTATGTTAAGATTTGTGTCACTATCTGCGCTTATTTGCATTAGTGGGGGTGTGCATTTCCATCTGTGTTTCAGTGCAGGAGGGAGTATACATCCCTGTACACTCTTGGGCTAGCTACTCATGGATAACACCATCTTGTTTCCTTGCAATTAACATGTAGTTCATACAAAGCTGATGAGTATCGCTGTGACTGAACATAATAATGCTGAAAGCCAGGCTATCAATCCCATAAGGAGATAGTTATTGCTGACCAGATTTTAAGGGGGGGGGGAATTCTGCAACGGACTAGTAATTTGATTAAGTCGGAGGTAGGTCACTGTTGTTAAATTATTGTGGAGAGTAGAGCCAAAGCTGATAGTAGCTTACTGAGCTCATATCAAAGACAAGGTGCAAACAGGGCCTTTTTGTTTCACAACTTAGTAACTTCCTTGCCACAATGCTACAGTATGTACAGTAGCTTCCACTGACTTGAAAGAGAGCTTCAGCCATATGGGACAGCGCCAGCATTTAGGGGTGTTGTGAAAATTCAAGCAAAGGTGCTCCACTTACCCTTTGTTACGGTACTTACTGCCTCATCCCTGTCCCTGCAAGGAGCAAAGAACTCACCTTGGTGCCAGAGAGATGTCTGTGGATGGTGAAGGGTTGCCACAAAGTTGAGAGAGGTCCACTAAGTCTAGCCTTCCTCTGTCCGTTGTAAAGTGAAGATGCTGGCAGCAGGGGCAAATCTCAGCAGGGACAGGAAAACTCTCCCCATGTTGGTATGCCACCAACATCTTCACATTGCAAAAGTCAGGGGAAAGAGGAGGAGTTTGGTGGTGGGCCTCTCCCATCTTCAAGGGAGCTGCTTCCACCACCTGCTACTCTGTGCTGGACCACAAGGTGAGTTTTCCCTTAGGTTAATGGGCAGCAGAAGGAACACGATGTTTGAGTGTTCTTTCAAATGCTTGGGGTAGAAAAACTGAAGGTTTTCAAATATTTGAATGGAATTCCTGTAGGACCAGGTTCATTTTCGAAAAGCACAGGGTTGCTTATCCATCATGGATATCATTAGAAAACACTACATTTTACCAAATTCTTCTCCAATAAAGAGTGGTGTTGTTTAATCTAGCTTCCTCAAAGTCCACCTAATCATTTTTTAATTATATCTAATTACAGCAAATAAAAGCAATCTGCTGCATGAATAATTTTATTAGGCATTTTAAATTTAGGATCTTATTCTAAATTATTCTTTGCAGGTAAGGAACTGAGGGCAGTGCAATGGATGCTGCTTTCTCATATCTGTGGAACACTTTTTAATCCCTTCTGGACTTTTGCTACTTTGGAACAGATTTTACATCAAATGTATATTCTAGCCAAAGTAGGTTTTACATTCAAACGCAAAAGCCAATTTAAGTCACAGTTTTAAAAACACCCTTTTAGCTGTTTATACCAGTTTGGCATGATTTTATGAAAGCACTAAGCTCAGCCCTAGAATTAAAGGAACAAAAGAAAAACAGTGCAGCTGTAACATAAGCTTTCTGTTAAGCCAAGCGGTTACAGATCTATAGAGGAATGTTAAGTCTCACAGTTCAGGACACAGAGAGAAAGAAAAGTGATAGGTATTAGAGAAAATGTTTTCCACTCCAGTTTGGATGCTGAATTCCAGAATGTGGCACTGGGTGGTTATTGCTTTACTACCGGGATGGAGAGCCTTTTGACCCTCCAGATGTTGCTGAACTAAAATTCCCATCCTTGACCATTGACCATTTCCTGCTCTATTCCATGGCAGTTACGCTTTGGGATCCCACAGGGCTCTGTTGCACCCACCCATGCTTTTTAACATTCATATGAAACCACTGGATGAAGTCATCCGGAGATATGGACCAAGGTGCCATTACTACGTGGATGACACTTGGCTCCACCTCTTTTTATCAAATCTAGGTGAGGCAGTGGGTATTCTAAACCATTGCCTGGATGAGGCCCTATAAAATGAGACTCGATCCAAGGAACTACGGTAGTTCATTTGACCAGCTGAGTGTTGCTCAGCCAGTTCTTAAGGACAATAGCTGCAATGTGAGAGTGTTCTTGGATTCAGCACTGCTATTTAGAGGCTCAAGTGGCTTCTGTCGCCAAGACACCTTTTATCAGCTTGGACTGATATACTTGCTGCAACCCTATCTGGACAGAGATAGACTTGCCACAGCTATCCACATTCCCTTAACCTCTTAATTGGATTGCTGCGAGGCACTGTATATGGGGTACCTGGAAACTTCAATTGGGCAGCAAGATAGTTTACAAGGATTGGACATTATGATCTCATTATGTCATCTGCACTGGCTTCCAAGCAGTTTCCAAGCAATGTACTGGTCTTAACTTGGAGCCAGGTTACCTAAAGGATTGTCTCCTATAGACGTTACCTACCTTGACTTTAAGATCTGCTTCAGGAGCCCTTTTTCTGTTACCCTCCACTAAGCCAGGTACTGCAGGTGGCTACTAGGAAGAGGTGGTCTTCAGTTGTTGTGCCTCACTTATAGAATGTCCTCCCCAGAGAGGGTCCCCTGGCATCTACAGACTGGACTTATGGGCACCAGGATTTTGTTGTTTTAATTTTCACCTAAAAATGTTTTAATAATATTTTAATCTTGTTTTTTTCCTGAAGTTTTAAGATCTGTGAAATGGTTGCTACTGCTGTGAGTTTTACTATATTGTTTGACCTCTGTGCTCCTGGTTTTATGCTGCATTTAGATTTTATGGTTTTAATTTCACATGCAATTGTTTTACTTTTATTGTAAGCCGCCTAAAGAACTTTTGCTATTGGATGAAATATAAATTTTGTAAATATAAACAAGCAAATAATCATTATGGAAACATACTGGAATAATTGGAACTAGAAAAGATATATAACAGGAGTTTGCTTATGTACATGCAAAAATAGTTTCCTTAACAAATATATCCCAAAACCAACAAAGAACTATTGAAGAGAACCTGAATTGTCTTACGTATTTCCAGTTGATGACATATATAGCTGACAATTTATAGCCAAGTATATTGTATTGGATACAATTTCTCTATTAAATCATCTCTATTAAATCTGGGATTGGATTTAGCTTTCAACTGATTAAGATCTTCATAGTTAATACTTTCCAAATGTTGTCATACTATCTATGAATAGTTGGAAGTTGTTTTACATTTCTATTATGCTGCATTTTAAAACTTTACCACTATTAAAATCAGCTCCCTGCTAAACTGTGATATCACGTCCTGGTTCATTACACCCAACAAGAGGTATTTTTCTGTGTGTGGAGTAAAAGTGCTTTGAAGAAATGCCTGAAACAAATGAGGCTGTCGTATCAGAGTGTGATTATACCCTGTAATCTTAATGTGCACAAGTGTCTGTGTTATCCTTGCACATCCTCACCAACAGTGAATACATTAGCCTATTTCACTACATCATTTCTGAGCAATACTTTAGCAAAACTAGTTTCAAGATGGTATCCAGCACCTCATGAAATCTTGATTATGAACAAGATTTCATGAGGTGCTGGATACCATCTTGAAACTAGTTTTGATCTGAGAAATTTAAAAGTCTGTATCCCATCTCAGGCTGTTGTTCTCAGTCAATCTGGAGATCTCAGTTCCATTTTCCTTCATAGAAGGGATTAGCTCCCTTGGCCTCAGAAGTGAAATGAGCGCTTCAACCCTATAGTCGCCTTTAACCGTCCAGGGGTCCTTTACCATTTTTTTTTACCAAGTGTAGGAGCCCATATTATATATAGCTGGGAAATAATATGCCTAGAGTATCTAGCTCTATCATAAAACCTTTAAGGCTTCAACCCAATAACCAATAATCTGGAACCAGGAATGGGAAAGAAATGTAATTCAGTTCACATTTAAAGCCAAATTTCACAAATTTGCACTTTTTGAAAGAATAAGAACCAAAACACAGCCATCCTTTGAAATTTGCACTTATCCAAACAAAACAATGTGTGCAAAAATGCATAGATTGGGGGAAAGTGTGCATCAAAATGAATATGTTTGAAAAATAGCATGCAAAAATGCATTTCATTAGGGGAAATAGCATGCAAAAATATGTACATCAGTGAAAAGTACGAGTATCAAAGCATGCATAATGATGCAATGGTATTTCATGTGTGTAAGTGTTTTGTCTGGAACCCAGAACAGAAGATATCTAATGGACATAGCATAAAAGAATTCACCAGTGTGGTGGACCCACCCTGTTCATCCTAGATAACCACAGTTCATTATGTGACTGTTGCGTATTCATGCCTAGCAACATCACTATTCATAGGACCCTTCTTTTCTCACATAACTTTTACCTTTCATAGATAACCAGTTAAGATCATCTTTCATTGTGACCCACTCTCAGTACATCACTAATTTCACAAAGTAAGCGTGCACTACCTTTGCACTCAGTACACAAAATGATGACTAAGGATGGATAATCACCCTTATAAGACTCTGAAGCAATTAATCACCCCAACTTCTGTCACACCACCAGCTTGACAAGTTTGCCATGTGACTAAGCAGCGCTAAGGGCACACACAGTTGACACAAGAGCCATCTTGAGATGGGAAACTGTGAAGGGGGTAGGGTGGGACCATCACTGCTGAGTTGTTGAACACATCATTTGCCTGATCCTACTCACATAATAGAAACAATTCCCCACTGGTTTCATTGCACAATACAGACTGTTTGACTAGTACACTAGAGCATAATATTCCATATGAGTACTGTAGCACATATCTCTTTTTTGCTCAAGTGTTATCATTAAGTAGGAAATGCAGCATATTTTTCAAGCTGTCTGCAATTGCACTGGAAACCCACATATTTTTAGTTAAAGACTGAAAGTAAATTGAGGATATGGAATATCAATGGGAGGTAGTGCTCCAGCTGCTAGTGCAGCACTGTTAATTACACAATACTTTTATGGAGCAATTCAGTGGTAATTCTTACTGCTATTCCTCCTTAATAAGATCCATTGTGCACCATAAAATAGTAACTAGGACACAGTTTGTATTCCACATGCATCTCACATCTCTTTAGCTGCTTCTTCCATATCCATAATCTCATCATTATTACTATTACCCTCAGAAGACAGTTGACTTGCATTAATCAGACAGGCTGACATTCCCTTACCAGATTTTTTCCCCTGCAGTTTTATTGTGCTTTTGGACATTTTAATTAACTTGAAAAATTAATTACAAATTCCAACCTTATTAATGCCCGTCTCCACTCCCCAACTTCTGTAGTCCATTAGCACAGTTTTATTGGCACTGACCATTGCAATGCAGGGTCAACAAAGAATGGGGCGTTATGTAAAGATCACACAGAAATGTTCTTAAATGGGAGAACAATCATATCCACAAATTATGCCTGCTGGACAGGATAGGATCACATCCTCAGAGGCTATCTTCCATCCATTGCTGCTAGCCTACTGGTACGCTGATGCAAATGATATCCTGAATGTTGTGCATTGTTCTTTGCACTAGTACAGTTAGTTTCCAACAGAAGGAACACAGTGGCAGAAGTGGCTGCTCTTAGCGAGAACTGTTTCTTTTCTCCATGAACCCTACATGTTGAAGGCTCAGTGGCAGAGCATCTGATTTGTATGCAAAAGGTTCTGAGTTCAGTCCCTGGCATCTCCTGGTAAAGCTGGACAATAGCCCTCTCTGGAACCCCTGGAGAATCACTGTTGGTCAGTGTCACCAATACTGAACTAGATGAACTAATGGTCTGAGTCCTATGTTCTGTGCTTGTTGTTGTTTAGTCGTCTTAGTCGTGTTCGACTCTCCATGACCCCATGAACCAGAGCATGCCTTGGAAACCCTCACTTTCTTCTCAAAGCTTCTCCTTTCTTATGTCCATGGAGCTTTATTGGCAAAATACTGGAGTGGTTTGCCAGCTCCTTCTCCAGGTGGATCACATTTAGTCTAAACTCTCAGCTATGACCTGTCCATTTTGGGTGGCCCTGCACGGCATAGCTCATAGCTTCTTGAAGTTATTCAAGCCCCTTTGCCACGACAAGGCAGTGATCCGTGAAGGGGATTAAGCTTAAGCTCCTGCAAACTTCAGTTGCATATATGCAGCAGTGAGTGGTCAAAGTTGCCAAATAAACCTTAGTTTGATGACTGTGAAGCTCTTCATGGTGTAAGATGCATTCTAATGCTTCTTCCGCTGAAGGAAATCAGAAGTGAACGAGTCGATTGCTCACTCCTTTCCAGTATTTCAGTAGCAAAGGTTGCACTTTGGAGGGAGCAGTGCTTCATGGATCCCACCAGATTTTTGAGAGATGGAGGAGTTCTGTGAATGACCAACATATTTTTTTTATCTGGAGCAAGAAGCTTTCCGAGGCAGTTTAAAGTTACACATCCTATTGCAACCAGGAGAAAAGCTCCTGAATAATTTAATAATCTCAGGCTGTTCAGAAGAAGAAGAAGAAGAAACTCATTGCTTGGGTCCTTGGGACATGGATGAAGTTGTGTGGGTGGAAGTATATATTTATTCACTGTGGACTTTGATTAATTATTTACCAGTTCAACTGCCATTAACAAGATCTCTGAGTGGCAAGGTCTCTGCTGGAACGAAATTTAATCGCTCCCTTCATTATTTACACAGGTGAGATCCTCACCTTTTAATATAGAAATCTGGTACCAGGTTCCCTAAAGTCAGCTGAATAATTGGAACACCCCAGGCTACCAATTTAATTCAGTTTCTTCCGAGTCACTACTCTGGGCCCAGTTCAGACTTGCCTAGCATCAAATAAGAGAGATTACTCACTTGTACAAGAGCTGCAAAAATCAGGCTCTCATTTTGCATAATTTGGCTTATACTGCAGGGAAACAAAGAGGAAAATCTGCCTGAAAGTTTCAAAATGTATTAAACGTTTCTCGTATTGCCAAACACAGTGTTTTCAGCTGTGTGTGACAAAGCAATAAAAAAGAAGCCCTGATATACACTTGCCATCAAGGTTAACTATGTAGTAGTGGATTTATATGGCAGGCACTTAACCACAGACAGCTTATTTTGTCACATGAAAAGTATTCCTCATAGTTGGAGAGCCAAGTCCTATGACCATTATTTGAAATATACTCGGAGTCGAGAGTGGATTTCATGCTCTTTATTGAGCTCAAGTGGTGAGGAGGAAATGGAAGTTCCCCCCACAATACATTATTTACACAATGGGCTGCACGTGATAGGCTAATACTGGGATTCTCCTGCAGGCCAATCAGGTTGTGGATTCACTTCCACCTGGAGCTGGATTGGGTGGCTCCTGCGGACCAATCATACTGCTGCAGGACCAATCAGACTGCTGCATTTTGGATCCTATTGTTCTAGGACCAATCAGACTGCTGCATTTTGGATCCTATTCAACTCAGTACATAACATTATCTATGTGCGAAGGCGACATTTGTTGACTTCTTCAGTGGACTTCTTGGTGGCTTAAAGTGAACTAGCTTTATACTAAAAAAAAATTCCTTCCAGAAGTGTATCTGAAGAAGTGTGCATGCACACGAAAGCTCATACCAATAGCAAACTTAGTTGGTCTCTAAGGTGCTACTGGAAGGAATTTTTTTATTGTTATTATTTTGTTTCGACTATGGCAGACCTACCTGTAACTAGCTTTATACTGTAACAAGTGCATATTTGTAAGTGCTTCTTCATGTCAATGCTTCCTGTGTCCATAATACAGGATTTATTGCATGCGTTTCTCCAGTGGAAGCTGGTGCCAATTGGGGCTGGTTAAGCAGAGGGTCACTTAAGATCCCACATGGCGCCTAGCAATGGGTGGAGTTAATGCCAGGCACCATGTAGGAACTCTCCAGGACTAAAATCCTATGCACTCAAGAGAGTATGCTCCCTTGAATACAGTGGGATTTCCCTTTTGAGTAAAAGGGATAGGATTGGGGTGAGACCACAGTGATACAGACCCCAAGCAAGCAAGCACGCAGAGCAGAAAGTGAGTGATTTCATAAGGGGGTGGGAGGAGAAGGAAGGTGGCTCATGTTGTGAGGAAACTGAGTCCTGCTGCTGCCTCCTTTCCCTTTATGGACCAGCAATGCCTTTCTCCCTCCCTCAGAAGAACTCTTGCACATTCTCTGTGGCACTGCTGTCCCCTTTAACCATGAAAATTCTGCCATAGCAGAGAGCAAAATGAATAATTTCCTTGTCGTTCAGCTTTTGACTGTAGTGGAACAGAACCAGTGCTGCATGCAACAAATATGGGGTGAAAGAGAAGTCAGTGTCTTCTTACATCCCTTGTTTTGGTACTTCACTCCACAAAAACAATTTATTACATCATTTGGTATTTTTCCTCAGCCAGAAAAGTATATTAGAAGCATAGGTGCCAAATCCCTGGGTGCCCGAGCACTCACAAAATTCCCTGTGAAGGGGCCAGGCACCCACAAATTTCAGTGCCACGCACACTGCATAGCACCCACAGCCCTGGGCACCCATGGTTGCGGGGCCAAGTTGGCACTCCTGATTAGAAGGTACCTCAAAGGTGAACTAGTCCACCTAACTCAGCCATTGTACTAAAGTCATTGGTAGTCTAT